TCTACACACTATTATAAGTAAGAAACAGCAGAGTCACTAGAAGTGCAATCAATACTAAAATAAATGGGGAAATGTGTGGCTTGATTAATATTCTGTAGTGGCAGTTATAATTAAACGCTAAACAATATCCGGTTCAACCGTCAGGGTTATAACTGGAATAAAAGATGTCTACTGTATTGTCAATATATACTTTTCCTATTTCTTCTTCTTCTGCGTTCACCCCTAAAAAGGTGGTGTTTTGTGTTGTGGTGTACAACTAGGCTGCGATATCTGCATTTTTCAACGCTTCATATTTCAGTCATTTACGTAATTCATAGTTTATATTTGAAATATTGTCCTATTCATGCCTTCTAGGCTACTGTTAGGATAAATGGCATATAATGACTCAGGAGAAAAGTGAGACTGATATACAATCAACCTGCTATTGATACCATTGGAAATTAGAACTCTGCCCTTGCTGCTTAAGATTGGGACGGAGTGCTTATTGGAATGTTCATAATGCTCTGATGTTGATTCTTAAACATTAAACGATTGCTTTTACATTTGTTATCTTTTACATCAAATTGTAATGCTGTGCTCTGCAACATAATAGTTTGCAGTTAACTATGCCTAACAACAAAAAAACAAAATAAAATGTCACGGTCTTCATCTGTGTTTGCTCTTAAAATGCAGTTAGAAGGTTGTGATGTGGTTTACAGCCAGGCTGTGAGATCTGCACCTTTATGCGCGATTTTATCAAACCTTTAATCAAGTGCCTATTATAACACGTTTGTTAAAGAGTTAGTTAGTTGCGTATCTTAACAGGACGCCGCAGAACCAACTCTAGCAGCCCCGGGCTGTTGTGTGGTTTTTCTAGGCAAATTTACATCCAGTAGTTTGCCATTGCTTTCTGGACAGTCGGCTTTCTTGATACGACTGTCGAAACCAAAGCAAGGCGCATGGCCCGCAGCTGGGATTGAACCCAGCATTACGAAGCGTTCGCATCGACTTAGTCGCAGAGCCGACTGTTAAAGAGAAGCTGTGAAAATTTCCCCCGACCCCCTATGGGGCCCTGGAACACACACAGAGAACTGGAAATACTGAATGTAAAAACAGATTTGTCTGCCCAGTTGTTAGCTTCCTGGAAATGAAACTTGTTCATTTGATTCCTCCTTCTCTTTCATTAAGTTCATCTGTACCTACTCTTTTCCCTTCCTAGAGGTAATGGGAAAACATGGAAAGTATGGTGATCAATTTGAATTTAGTGAAAAATAAAGTTATATATGAAAATAAACTCAGTGTAATCAATTTGTATAGTGGGGAAAAAAGGAAAAATTGTAATTTGGATAGCGGGAAAGAAATGACAAATAAACTCATTATAATTAATTGGGACCCAAAAAAAAAAACATTGAAAAGATGAAAAGTAAATAAATGTTATTACATCACATAAAGGAAAACAGGCAAACAAAATGAGAAAAAAATTAACTAATAAAATATGGGGGAAAAAAAGCTTAATACAATCACTGGACAAACGGAAAACGAACAAAATATAAAAAGAAAGTGCAACATCATCGTGTTAAAAGAAATAAAACAGGAAACACAAACACAAAACAATCAATTTGGACATAAAGGGAAAAAAAATAAAAACCTGAAGGTGGGCTGACTGGCGGAGGCGGCCCCATCGGCATGGTCTGCCCCTGTGGGGGCCCGGCACTGCTGGGCACAGAACCTCGGATGTCTGATGGTGCTGCAAACGGTACCGGTGGTCGCTGTGACATTCCTGGGTGCATCATGCGAGGAGAGAAACCTGTAAAAGATGCAAAACTCAGAATGTATATCTTTGTTTATAAATGATCTCTAGCCATAGGTTGGTTGTTCATGACACGTTTATTCCGTTTTATTCCTACCACTATTTCTTTGTATCCTAAACAACTTTTGGTGTATATCAGTATAATTTTAAAAATCTTTACTTCAATCCTCATTCTGCTGCTACCACCACCGCCACTAACTCTTCTCTTCCTACTGTCCCTTAACCCCAAATGGAGTATAGGCCCTCAACCAAGTCTTGGCAAGTCATCCTATCATTGACTATCGTATGCAGTTCTCACTATTTCCCCCCCAGTTACCCAAAAACAACCCCCTCCCCACCCCTGACTGGCTAGTTATTATTTGACTTACTCACAGCTGCCAGATTTTCACAGCATGATGTGGTCAACTCCAAGCCCAACCCTATAACTGGTGTTATCTTACAACATGCCTGGTAGGCTGTAGTGTTACTCTCTGTTTGCTTGCCCTAAGAGTCCCCGTAACACACACATGGCTACTCCATGACTATTACTACCATTGCTATTGTCTCCACTAATCTACTGCATGCATAATGTGATTCTTCTTATAGTTCACGTCGTGTAGCGTTAGTAGTCACATCTATCCGCAAACTTCTGTCTCATGAACTTTCATTCAATTCTGTGACACAGATGACCTTCCATGGCATGATGTCAAACTGTCTAGCATCTTCTCTTCTGGTCTCCCTCTGCCTCTTTTCTTCTCTACTTTTCCCACGTACTCCAGTTTGTCCTTGACACATGTGCTCCTTCACACAACACAAGTATGTAGATTGACCCCCTTCTGATGTGGGCATCAGTTCTCCTCATGAATCAATTTCTTTCAAGATATCTTGATTACTCTTTATATCTGTCCAGGGTACTCTCATTATTCGTCTATAAAACTACATCTCCGCTACTTCCAAACAATTTTTCGCTAATCATCCAACTGCCCATGATTAACTTCAGGATAGGATTCATATAGCTGTTAAAGAATTTAACTAATTAATGACAACAACTCTACACACCTTGTTGGAATTGTCCACCTCCAGGTCCGCCAACAACAGACTCTGGTGACCATCCACCGCTGTCGGGAGGACATGACATACGTATTCCTGGATGTTCCATCCGCATTCCTGCACCTGGGAGTGAAGGAGGCACGCCGGGACCTGATGGTGGGCCGGACGACATGCCTGACATGATCTGCTCAGCAGAAGCACCAGGGCCATCTCTTCGGTGCATCATTGCTTGTTGTTCAGCCTGCCGCTTCTGCTCTTCTTTCTCCTTTTGTACAAGAGTAAACAAAAAAACAAAAGAGCGAAAGATAAAAATGATACCTGGAAAAAGCTGGTGGATATAAGAAGTGGGGATAACCTTTAAAGCTCAAACTGAAACTGGGATATAAAGTGTTATAATCTTGAAATTAATCAAATGTATCATACTGGAGTCTGCTCTGTGGCTAAGTCGATGCGAACGCTTCGTAATGCCGGGATGCCAAGTTCAATCCCAGCCGCAGGCCACGCTCCTTGTGTTGGTTTCGACAGTGGTATCAAGAAAGCCGACCGTCCAGAAAGCAATGGCAAACTACTGGATGAAAATTTGCCTAGAAAAACCGCACAACAGCCAGGGACTGTTGGGGTTGGTTGTGCAATGTCCTGTAAAGGATACACAACTAACCTAATCATACTGGAGAAAATAATGCAAAATAAAAAACATAGCCATTACAAATAGGTACATCAAGGGATATCAGGTTATATTTGCTAGAGAACAATATAATCCTGAAAGCTATGGCAATGTTAAATGTTATGGTGGCCTAAAGAAAACAGCAATAGGGGGTGCCATTTCCGGAAAATGAGACAGAGACCGACCTCCCTCAATACAAGACAATGAAGATGCACTGGCTATGAAAGCACATAGGGCTAGAGAATTGGCTAGAGAAAGAGAGCCCTTCAGGTGTGCTGTAAAGAGAACAACATTTTGTATAGGACCTACTGATTAATGATGGGATCACAACCGAATAGAGTACAGAAATCCATTACTGCCAATGTTTACAGAAATCCATTACTGCCAATGTTTACAGAAATCCATTACTGCCAATGTTTACAGAAATCCGTTACTGCCAATCTTCACCATGGAGTCCATGGCACTAGATATGATAAAGACAATATAATAGGCAACATGACGTGGACTGACCAGTTTCCTTCCACATCCTTTTTTCTTCACAGAAAGAAATCCTGTGGCAGGCACTTCATGAGAGCTGGTAGTCTCCAGCTAAAGACGGTCAGGAAAGTTCTGTCCCCCAAGTCGGTGTACTACAACCGACTTTCTTATACAGAATAGACAATAACTTGTAAAATACAGTCAAGGAACTTAACTGTTTATTGTTGTTTTCTTCTTCCACTTTCCATGTTACATATATATGAATATATTTCATTATCAGGTTGTTTTCTTCTTTCCACTTTCCATGTTACATATATATGAATATATTTCATTATCAGGTTGTTTTCTTCTTTCCACTTTCAATGTTACATATATATGAATTTATTTCATTGTCAGGTTTTTTTTTCTTTCCACTTTCCATGTTACATATATCACAATCAAGTTATAATCTTCTTTCCATGTTATGCCTTAAATCATCAGATTATACTCTTCTTTGCACTTTCCATGTTATATATTTAATCATCCAGTCATTCTCTTCTTTCCACTTTCCCAGAACCTCAGTTCAGTTAATAACACAGATAAGCATCCTATCTGTGTGTACAAAATATATTACACATTTAAAAATTTTTTATTTAAATTTTCCATTTGGAATTTTTGCCAAGACACTGCTTGTAAGTATTACTGCTGCTAAATTGTTTTATCTGTGCTCAATGACCACTAATATCTCCCCCCCCCCCCCCCCCCCCCACTTTTTGTCTGAGTAGACTTGAGCATATTATAGCCATCAAAGGGAAATGGTATCATTTGACATCAAAATTAAACAATTTGCATTTCAAAATTGCATGTTTTCACACTTACTTTCTCTACCAAGTCATCAAGAAGTGTAATCGGCTCTCGCTGCCCTTGTCCCTGAGGGACCCCACCTGGTGGGCCTCCAGGGAATGGTGGTCCTGGCTGTCGAGGTCCAACCCCTCTCATCTGAGGTGGATGAGACAACCTTTGGGTGTGTCCAGGAAAAGGGTGTCTGGCCTGTTGGTGCGCCAGCTGGTTCTGCAAGTTAGGGTGACCTACAGGAGAAGGTGGAGGACCTCTCATTCCTGGTGCGGAGACAGACAACAGATAAGTCTCCAAGTCATGTTAACACAGGTATCAACATTTTATCTATTTACCACTATCTGGCAACATGCATCATGGTAAATCTTCACTATTACAGAAAAAAAATAATAAATGACATGTAAATTTACTATCAATTAAATTTAACCCACATCCCTCATCTGTTTAGTGTTGAGCTAAGAAGTGTCATCAATTAACAAATTTAACCCGCATCCCTCATCTGTTCAGTGTTGAGCTAAGAAGTGTCATCAATTAACAAATTTAACCCGCATCCCTCGTCTGTTCAGTGTTGAGCTAAGAAGTGTCATCACTTAACAAATTTAACCCGCATCCCTCGTCTGTTCAGTGTTGAGCTAAGAAGTGTCATCACTTAACAAATTTAACCCGCATCCCTCGTCTGTTCAGTGTTGAGCTAAGAAGTGTCATCACTTAACAACTTAAACCCGCATCCCTCATCTGTTCAGTGTTGAGCTAAAAGTGTCATCAATTACCAAATTTAACCCGCTTCCCTCGTCTGTTCAGTGTTGAGCTAAGAAGTGTCATCACTTAACAAATTCAACCCGCATTCCTCATCTGTTCAGTGTTGAGCTAAGAAGTGTCATCACTTAACAAATTCAACCCGCATCCCTCATCTGTTCAGTGCTGAGCTAAGAAGTGTCATCAAAGCACTCAGGACATTCATATAAGTTTATTTCTCCATGTGTTTCTTGTGTGCCTTTAGAAAGCTAACATTGGTATACTTATCACCTAACTCTAGTAAAATAACTGCCGCCAGTTTAATAAACAACATGTACTTATCACCTAACTCTAGTAAAATAACTGCCGCCAGTTTAATAAACAACATGTACTTATCACCTAACTCTAGTAAAATAACTGCCGCCAGTTTAATAAACAACATGTACTTATCACCTAACACCAGTAAAAAAAACTGCCGCTAGTTTAATAAACAACATGTACTTATCACCTAACACCAGTAAAATAACTGCCGCTAGTTTATTAAACAACATGTACTTATCACCTAACACTAGTAAAATAACTGCCGCTAGTTTAATAAACAACAGGTACTTATCACCTAACACTAGTAAAAAAAACTGCGCTAGTTTAATAAACAACATGTACTTATCACCCAACACAAGTAGAATAACTGCTGCTAGTTTAATAAAAAAACATGTACTTATCACCTAACACTAGTAAAATAACTGCCGCTAGTTTAATAAAAAAAAACATGTACTTATCACCTAACACTAGTAAAATAACTGCCGCTAGTTTAATAAACAACAGGTACTTATCGCCTAACACTAGTAAAATAACTGCCGCTAGTTTAATAAACAACAGGTACTTATCACCTAACACTAGTAAAAAAAACTGCGCTAGTTTAATAAACAACATGTACTTATCACCCAACACAAGTAGAATAACTGCTGCTAGTTTAATAAAAAAACATGTACTTATCACCTAACACTAGTAAAATAACTGCCGCTAGTTTAATAAAAAAAAACATGTACTTATCACCTAACACCAGTAAAATAACTGCCGCTAGTTTATTAAACAACATGTACTTATCACCTAACACTAGTAAAATAACTGCCGCTAGTTTAATAAACAACAGGTACTTATCACCTAACACTAGTAAAAAAAACTGCGCTAGTTTAATAAACAACATGTACTTATCACCCAACACAAGTAGAATAACTGCTGCTAGTTTAATAAAAAAACATGTACTTATCACCTAACACTAGTAAAATAACTGCCGCTAGTTTAATAAAAAAAAAACATGTACTTATCACCTAACACTAGTAAAATAACTGCCGCTAGTTTAATAAACAACAGGTACTTATCGCCTAACACAAGTAAAATAACTGCCGCTAGTTTAATTAACATGTATTTACCTCTTGCCTGCATCTGTTGGTACAGGGGGTGTGGTCTACCATCTGGCAAGGTCATTGGCTGTGACATGCAGGGACCTAGAACTTCTACCCCTTCAATGCCAGAATCTCCTGGTCTAGGAAATCTGCCTGGTTGGCCATCTCCTGGTCTATATTCAAATAAGCAACAATGTCTTATTTACAAGGTCACTCGCAGTGTTACAAAATACTAAAGACAATGCAAAAGGCTTTATAATATGATGTTCATTTATTATCATCATGTGGTGCCAAGCCAGTAAGCATAGGCTGTCATGTTTCACCACCTCCCAAAATCACAGATCAGGTCAGTGTTCTTGTATCACCCCATCCATGTGGCAAAGCCGTCTGGGCATTTAAGCCTCAGCCTTCAACTTGATCTCTTTCCACCAACTGTGCTAGCTGGCTAAGTTCTAGAGTCCCTTGTTCCTCAAAACTTTTCTGAAAAACACAGACTGTTCATTGTGCTAGTTAAAAAAAACTAAAACCGTATGCTCGTTAAAAACTGTTCCCTAGATCTGAAATTAAAAATAGGCAGGACCAGATGTTATTGCAGGTGCACACCTCTCACTTACTTCAAATCTGATCATGGTTTTCCCCTCCAAACCTTTTGTTTATGTTGTACTAAATAATATCTTCTTCTTTCCAGCATAAACTTCTGGTTGTTCGCCAACTTCTGGTCTTTGCAGCAACCAAACCCACTATATTTTCTTCCATAACTCACAGTACTGAACCAATGCTTTGATCTGCTTCTCTATGACTACTAGCAGCATGACGAAGGAGTGATGGCAGTGACACCAGCTTCCATGGGTCTGGAATAACAGGGCTACTCCAGTGTGTACTGATTCTATGAGCATGATTATGCAGGCTAAAGCAAGCTCCATATGCACATAGTGGGTCGAGTCAAAAGTCCACCACGTGTGGAGTTTATCTTCTTCATTGTTCCAGGACATGCAGGAATTGGTGGCAACAAAAGAGGTGACAGACTGAGCATGGCCAACCTACAGACTGTGTCGACACTGTCAATGCACTTGGAGACAATGAAATTACACAACTAGGGGGGGGGGGGGGGGGTGTGTGTGTGTGTACGCGCGCGTCCGCATCATTGCTAAGAATTAGGAGTAAAGATCGGCACAGCCAAGCACAAGTGGCACAATAAATGTATGAGAAGTTCTGTCAACCAGCATAGGACCAGCACCATAAACATTGGTTCACTGATGTATACGTTGCTACAGTGACATATCAAAGTCTGGAAAGTTAAATCTATTACTGGATGAACTACCAAACAATCAGAAGAAACCAAATATTCTGTGTAGTGGCTGTGCATACAGTGATATTTCTAAGTCTAGAAAGTTAAATCTTCTACTGGATGAACTACCAAACAATCAGAGGAAACCAAAGATTCTGTGTAATAGCTGTGCATACAGTGACATTTCTAAGTCTAGAAAGTTAAATCCTCTACTGGATGAACTACCAAACAATCAGAGGAAACCAAAGATTCTGTGTAGTAGCTGTGCATACAGTGACATTTCTAAGTCTAGAAAGTTAAATCCTTTACTGGATGAACTACCAAACAATCAGAGGAAACCTAAGATTCTGTTTAGTGGCTGTGCATACACTGACATTTTAAAGTCTTGGACAGTTAAATAATCTAATTATTAGATTAACCATCCAACAATCAGATGTAACCTACCTGATCCCATGGGGTGGCTGTCCATAGAGTGGCCCTCTAGGACCGCCAGGATGTCCCATTTGGTTGAATCCTTGCAACGGTCGAAGGCCCATCCCTCCTGTAGGGTAGCTCTGGGGCATCATGTGTGGTGGTCCTGGTGATGACATGCTGCAGACAAGACACAGTGATCTTCTTTACATCTTAAATGATGGGTGGCAGAATTTTGAAGAGAAGTTTTACAAGTTACTGACACAAGGTCTGTATTTGTGATTTGTAAATTTGTACATGTTTGTTTGTCTTCTACTGACCAGGCAAACAAACAAATACAATCATGGATTTAAAAAAACTCCTGTTCTTTGCCAGTTAAATTTACTTCTGGGCTTCAATTTCTATACAGAACATTTATTGTCAGTCTGGGCCTTTTATATTAACATTATGTAATTATTCATCATATAAAACATAGTTTTATCATTAAAAAAACATCCACGTGTGGGTTCCGGGGCCCCACTGTGGGGAAAACAAGAATCGACTCGCTGCCCACCCAACAGCATGTCGTAAGAGTAGACTAATTGGGGAGCTTCCTTTGAAGTCGGAGTGTGTCTGCCTGAGAGGCAAGGAACCAACAGTCTGCATTCAAGTGAATCCGATCTGAAAAACTGATGCACACGCAACAATCGGGTAATGGAGCAGGACTGCAGTTCAGAAGTGGACGAACAACCAGATAATTCAGCCAGAGTGTACAGCTGGTGAACACGAAGAAGAAGAAGGTTAAAAAACAATTTAGTATTTTTTAAAATTTGAAATCATTTTTAACATTAGGCTACATTTTTGTTATCTGAAGGTTTTCTAAAAGAAACGGTTCTGAAATATAGGGTTCTTTTTTTCCTCCTGCAATCTATCTCTGAGAAGACAAAGTCTCTTTACCTAACTTGCTTGAACATTTTATTGAACAAATGAATCCGAACATTAATAATCTTTTTGTAGAAATATGTTTTTGAAGACGCAATCAAATGCAGCTAAATGTTAAAAACTGCAAGAGCAGTAGGTTATAGAAGGAGTGGCACCATGCAGTATACAGGGTGCTGAAAAATAGTGAGCCAGCATACAACTGAAGTCCATCAGCCACTCACGATCAGAGATAGTGTGAAGTGGGGATCCAGACAGTTATGAACTGAATAGGTCAAGCTGAATGGATTAGTGGAGGAGACAAGTCACACCACAACCCTTATAGAGGCCTGCAACCTTCTCATTCGGGAAAAACTACTTGCAAGAAAAAGAGAACAGATGAAGTGGTGCAGACAGGTGTCAAGACTTCCAGCAGACAGGTGTCAAGACTTCCAGCAGACAGGTGTCAAGACTTCCAGCAGACAGGTGTCAAGACTTCCAGCAGACAGGTGTCAAGACTTCCAGCAGACAGGTGTCAAGACTTTCAGCAGACAGGTGTCAAGACTTCCAGCAGACAGGTGTCAAGACTTCCAGCAGACAGCACAGTGCACCACAGAGAGCCCTGTGACATAAAGGATGCCGAACTAGAGGTCAACGAGACAAGCGACTGGATAGATGGAATACCAACATCTTAACAGTATATACTAAGGCTCGCACTCGAATGCCTCTTCAAAACCTGACACTGAAAGGGAGACAGAACTCAAGAAGAAGAAGAAAAATAAGAAGAAGAAAAAGAAGATGAAAACACACATCTGAATAAGAACCATCGATGATTAATGCAGAACCTTTAAAGCAAAACTAAAAAAGTTACCTTGCAAAAGGTGTTGTGGTGGTGGTGGATACGGTGAGTGTGGAGCTGAACCAGGTCCTTGACCATACGACTGCTGGCCCCCTGCTGGTGTTGGCGGACTGAAAGGAATTTGAATGCTTCCAGCTGAGAATGGAGATAACTGTGGACCTCCAGGAGTCATTGGCTGACTGTGAGGGGAAGCTGAGTGGCGACCACCAATCAGTGTGTTAAAGGGGGACTGAATTCCAGGAGTCCTGGGCGACGGCTGCCCACTTCGAGGTGAGTGCATGATCTACAACAGAAAGAATACAATTCAATTAATCAATGAATCCATCAGCATGTGCTTTACAAAATGTGACGCTCTTCGTGGCACGCCTTAAAGTCTCTTCTTCTCTAGCTAATTCTCCAGCCAATGCATCCTGAATGTCCTGTATCCACCTTTGCAGAGGTTGGTCTCTGCTTCATCTTCTGAAAACAGCACCCTCCATCACCGTTCTCTCGAAACCACCATGACACTTGCCATGGCTCAAGTACCCCAGCTTAAGATACAAGATATAATTACACTGAACTAATCTACACTGGAAACCTTACAACTAAAATTTATCTGCTAAAAAAGAAATGATGAAAATAAATTTAACTGATCGACAAAAAGTGTTCATTAAAAACCTTTTTCAATGGCTTTATTACAAAAGCAGGAAAGAGACATTAACAGGTATGCCAGAATTAAACAAAGCATTCATTTTGAATGAATAATACACCATTACTTAGGTAGGCGGTGAATGATGTTCACAAAAAGAGGACTGTGGTTGCTCTTTGAACAAAATGTTTACTGCGTTATGTCTGCAGCCAGCTGTGTAAAGTCATTGCTCCTTGACAGTTAGATGTTGCAAAAGTTCCCACTTCTTCTACGCTAGTTTCCTGCGCAATCTTTGAAATACATGGATAAGCCTTATTGTGCAACAAAATCACACCCAGATAAAGCATACCAGGATGTTTTTTTCTTGATGGCTTCATGCAGATTGTTTAGTGTTTTCAAGTAGTGGCTAGAGTTGATGTTGACACCAGGTTCTTTAAAGTCTGCCACCTATAGGCCTTTATAGTTATTTTAAAAAAATGCATCCTGCAGAAACCTGCAACTGATGACATGGTTAGTATTCCGGCATGATGCTAACCACACCATTCACCAAGTGCAGATTGGTCTATAAAATACAGGTCTAGCCCTATATGCCCAATAGGTGTGTAATAGGGTCCTTTACACCCCCCCCCACCCCCTTTTTTTGTTATACCATAGTCAGTATTACACTGATGTTGTTACTATCTAAAAAAAATCCAGTTAAACAAAAACTATCTGAGCTTATTACCTCGAAGCCAGCAGGTTTTTGTTAAAAAAAAATGTTAAGGTCAAAAGGATTGACTTTATCAGACCGGGTTTTATCCCATATAGCTAGGCATCTCTCTGCAGAACAGCTAGTGCTAGCCGAGCGACGCACAGGGCATGAACTCCTTAGTTCCAGCAATGATCTCTAGGGATTTCCGTAAAAATTGCACTCGTGAGCTTGAACGGCACAGATGTGAAATGAACCCGAGACCTTCAGAGCGTGAGGCAAACCCCTCTGCCACGGAGACCCCCCGAATGATTTTTTTGAAAACAATGTTAACTGAGCTAATCAGCTGACCTTACCTTGGGTGAAGGAAGACCTGAAGATCCTGGCTGAGGTATCACCTGAGACGGAGACATGTGAGGTGAGGTCATGTTGGGGTTAAAGTTGGTCCTTGACATCCCTGCACTTCCCATGCCTAGGTCTGCGATTGAAGGCTTGATGTCTGGGGTAGTGGAGCCACTGCTGGAGAGTCTGTGGTAACAAAACAATCAGTTCATTGCATGAAAAGTTACGACTGAAAATAAGAAGAGGAAATAAAGTAAGATATGTAGAAAAGATAGTACAGGAAGCATGAAAGAAAGACAAGGAAATATAAACATTCTCTCCAGGTACAGATTTTTAGTTCATTCCATTAAAAATTATACAAGATAGGTTGTAATTTTTTTTTCAACTATAAACTTAGAATATAACTCAACAAGTGTTTAACTGGAAAAGGTTTCATCAAAGAAGGCAAAACATGGAGCACAAGACTAATATGCTGCCGGCCTGCTGATTTTCTGCCAATGGGATCTCATGTCATTTTGCATACTTATTTTCCTTTTCTAATGCCCTTATTCAGGTTTCCTTAGGTCGTCCAAGTCTCCTTTTTCTATCTGCAGTCCACCAGAGAGCTATCCTTGTCAACGTGATGTGCTGCATTCTGCAAACATGTCCAAGTCATCTCTATCTTCCTCCTTTGATAACGTTTGCCAGTGACAAACATTATTTTTTTTACTCCTCACTTCTTCATTTGTAATCTTTTTTTTATCTGCAGCTCTTCCAAGTTCATCAGAATATACAACATGACTTTTTCTCAAACATGACAGTTTTACAAATGAAGAGCAACAGTTCGAGCAACTTCAAATTCATGCAGCAAAAGAATAGTACTATTCCTGCTGGTAAACATTCAGTATTTGATGGTAGTTTTATATACAGCATGTCGAATGACAATGAAATTTTGTTCTGTGTAACTTTATGTGCTCTAAAAGGCTGCTTTGTCCACAATCTGTCTTTATTTGACTAAGGTGGTTGACAGAAAGGATGGCATAGTGACAGGCCACACACAGAGCTACCTGAAGTTCTGCTGCTGTAACCTTATCACATGCTTTTCTAGGAGTCTTCTCAACTCAAAGTTCATTCTGTCCTTTTGATGGATTCCCCTGTTTTCCAGATTTTTCATAAGCAGTGAGACCAATAGGTTTAGGAAAAATAGTACAGTGGCATAACTTACAATAACCATCTTCTGATTCCTCAGAAGATCTTCTAACCCACACAAAAGTCTTTTTCCAATTGCTATTGTGGGTATGACTACTGTCATATGATTGTTTCCATTCTCCCTCCACAGTTAATTAAAGATATCTGGTAAAATTCCACATGAAAAAGCCAAAGGACATGACTGACTTCAGAGTGAAGCCCTAGGCAGGAAAAAGAGCAAAGAAAGTAACGTAGCTTGCCACGGAAGAGACCATGGAAAACAAGACAAAACTCACCGAACAGTCATGGTTTCTGTGCCCTGCAGCATGGCAGCAATCTGGACCACCTCAGACTTCTCTTTCTCCTTCTCCTCAGATGTCTTATCAATGTCTTCTTTATCTTTCAAGGCTTCAGATTTCTGCCGCTGATTGAACTCCAAGAATTGTGCCTGGAAGTCTGATGCTCGGGAAGAGCTTCCTTTAGAATCTTTCTCTTCTTTTACGTCACGGCTGAAAAAGTAGAGAGTTTGCATATTCTTTGATTGGTACAACAATTGCCAGAATAGTCTTTTCAACTAACATGGAGGAAACAAATTGAG